ACCCTTTGTTTTAATAATTTCAATTATACAATTTCATTGATTAAAAGTATAACTTATACAGAAAATATTAAAATATTTTAATTAAATATATACTTAAAATTATACAGTATAATACGAGGGTTTCCCAAACCGTTTGTTTGTCGATCCCTTCCTAAACTAAATTAAACTCTCTTACTCCTTTCTAAACTGATATAAATTATAAATAATAAAAAAATTATAATTGATTTCTATTTAATTTTTTAATATATATATAATTCAAAATTGTATATTTTCGTTTCGCGGATCCCTAAAACCCCCACACCGTGATGGACCCTCGCAGAATTCCACGGACCCCTAGGACACCGAGGACTACCGGTTGAGAAGTTCAACCCTAGATGAATCGAATTACCCCTTAGGATGGCCAACGACCAATTGGATCCTTGATATTACATTCCCTAATGTATTAATAAATATTGATGTATCTCTCTTCTAATATATTATATTAAATATTGGTTGATTTTTTATGTTAAATTAACATTAAACATTTTCATTTTCAGTAAAATAAATAGAAACAATGTCAAATAATATTCCGTTGTTTTAAACTTTATATTTAATTTATAAAATACAAAGTGTTATATTGGTAAAGGTAAATGTGACTTGTAATATATTAGACTGAAAGGTATGATGAATGCTTTACAGAAACTATACGAACACTCATTACATTTTTCTTTTTTCTTTTTAAGTTTTTATATATATATATTTTTTTTACTTAATAAAGGATGTAAATGACGGGAAAATGAAGATGTGGGAAGAAGTTTTGACAGAAAACTAAAAATGATTGATGAATAAACATGGATTATAAATACCAGCAGTTGACCGTTTATAAAATGTTTGTTTTTTTTATAAGTTATTATTAAAATTACTAGAATTATTTAATTAAATTTTTACATTTAATGAAATAAATAAAAATCATTCAACTAATTAGTATAAAAAAATTTTTTTATCTATTTTAAAGTAACTTTATATAATTGAAATTAATTTCTTAGTAAATTAAAATCCATTATTAATTTAATTAGCTTTGACACGATATAATAAATATAATTTAAATTATCCTTTCATGAAATATTATTAATTAATTTTTATTATACAACCTTCACCGTTTACTTCATAAATTTAAAAATTAATTCAATGGCATCATATATAACAAGTGAATTTATTATACTGAATCCAATTAAGTAACTAAATAATATATCTTACAATTGACCACTCACATTCATAAATTTTCTTTAACTAGAAGTACAGTACTTTCTTGCTTGATAAAAGTTTCAACATTTATTCTATATCATTTACATTGATTTTTATTATAAATTTCGCTTAAGTAGACGATATATCTATACTGTACTTGTACTGTACATTTTATAAACATGTTATTCTGTTATAATTAATAAGTTAAATTTTAAGTGAAAAATGAAAAGGTATCGCTTAAGAATTTCTGAGGAGGTACATTACTATTTTTATATTATACATATTAAATTATTTATTTATTTATTCGCTTATTTATTTGATATAAAAGGTAGTCCTTCTGGGAAAGCACCCCTTGGCAGATCGCCCATATGGTGCTTTGACTTATTTTATTAATCTAATTCAATCCAATCATTGTATTTAAAGTTGATTTTGATATCCAGGGATGCCAGTAGAGAATTTTAAGGGATAGGGGTCCTTTTTACTATCTAAAAGTGGGCCCTTTCCTTTAAAAAAAAAANCAGGAACTGTACAGAAAAATTTGTAAACAATTGTCACCTCCGAACAACGGCCATTTTTTGCTTTCCTCACTGGCTATTTATCAGAGGCTATTCACATAATATAATGTTTGATTACATTATATTAACATATGTATATAATATAATATAATGTAAACATTATATTATATGAATTAAATAAATTCATTATATATTAATCTATTTATAATATGGTAATTTTAGTTTGCATTTTAGTTATTTAATAATGAATAGATTCTATACTATAGAAGTAACACACAAGAAATCAAAAAATTACTTAATAATCTTTACCGAAAATATAAAATATTTTACAACGACGAAGAAAAATATAAATGATAATTCTAATTTTATATATTTCAAATTCCAAGAACAATTAAGAAAATATCATTTTTCAACAGTTTAAATTTATGTCTCCATTATTAATAACTGCGTATTGAAAGTAGATACTGTATCACAATAGAAAACTATACACATACTTTTACACATCAAATGATGAATAAGTTTTTCATTACATAAATTACACACTTTTAAATTGATTTAAAGTCATTTTATATTGAAAATAATTACATTTCTTCGCTCATTTTTTCAATAAAAATAATAAATTTAACAGCGTTACGAACCATTTTATAGCATTAGGAGCTGTTAAAATTTAAAGAACTTCATTTAAATTGATATTGGAAGAGTCATATAATATAATTTTTTTTAAATTTTCCTTTTAATATAAAAGCATATTACTTCTTCATCGATTATTACATAAAAAATATAAAAGTATAACCTTTAAAAGTTTAGTAATATCGACCCTACTTTAAATGCGTTATTAATATTCTTGATAGGACAAAATGAAAATTTATTTAAAAACTTTAAAATCTTTATTGGATGTAAAGATTGAAATCACTAATATTGTTATCGTACTTTAAATTTTATCACTTTTTTTTCTAAATCATTGGCCATTCTTATCACGTGTTCGCGTGGAAACATATTTGCAGCATCTGTTCGCTAGGAAATTTCCAATCTGTAAAAATCCAGCAAGCCAAAAAAATAATGCTATGTGATTGCTGAACAGATATCCTGTAGCTAACAGTGGATGTTACAATGTCCTTTCTTAAGAGGTCAATAAAAGCAAATGGATTTCGTTACAAACTGAAGAACAAGAAGCAAAAAAAAAAAAAAACTAAGCGTGTTCAAATCTATCTTTAACTGTTTTCTCTAGATCAACTAAATATTAAATTTATTTCCTTTTAATTTGCTATCTTAAGTTATGTAAATATTTATCTTGTTATATTTTTTTCCTATATATATATATATATTTATATTGATTTTTCTGAATCACCTAAAAATAGGAATGTAAATATATGTTAAAAATATCACATACGATAAGAAGATAAAACTTCTCGTGTAGGCTTGCTTGATCGATCATTTCAGAATATATTTAAATAAAAATACAAAATTTAATTGAATTTTTTAAATAAATATTACATTTTTTTTCGTAAAAATAAGACTTGGAAGCGAGATTTTAATCATTAGATAAATTAAGTTAAATAAAAAAATCTAATGAATTGTACTAAACATTAATTTTTGAATGAAAGGAATCTAATTACTAAGCCTGAGGATTAGAGATTGATCTTTGTTCTTATATGTAATATCAAACTTCACGAAAGAATTAAATAACGAAGAACGTTGAAACACGTTCTTCCTTGCAACGATCTCTTGCAAATTAAGTTGTAATAACAATTCTTTTCTAATAATTCGTAGAAAAAATTCTCTTCATTTACTAACAGGAAATTATAATTGTACAGTACCATTTTCCCTTTTTTTTAAAAAAAAATTAATAATAATAAATATNAGGGTAAGTCATGAAAATGCACACTAAGAAGGGATTTTTGGAAATTCCTCTGCAGGGGGGAAAGGAGAAGATTAAGACTTAACCTGAAGAATGTTTCTACTGTACTATTTTAGATGCAATTTTTTGTTTTTAACTATGATTTAGTAGGGTATGCAATGAGAGTGCACACTAAGAAGAAATTTTTCAAAATTCTCCTGCGGGAGGAAAGGGAGAGGATTAAGTCTTAGCCCCAAAAGGCAGTACCACAAACATGGCTTACAAAGAGTTACTGGAGTAACTAAAACTCTATTTTTCAGTAAATATTTATACTTTACGAATTTTCAGATAACATCATTTTATGTTTCAAAAAAAAAATTGAACTCAGATTTATTGTATCTCAGAATCCCATAATATTTGAAACTTGAATTTAGGTGCATTAGCAGTCCATAGTTTGAAACAAACAAAAATCAGTAATTTTACCAAATTAGTAACAAGTAATGATTTAATCTTAGTGAAGTACCGAGGGAGGGTTATTTCTATCAAATTGCAAAATCCGCAAGAGCAAAACCATAGGTAACAGCTAGTTTTTATATAAAAATGTTCTTGGTCAGTAAAACATTGCAAGAAAACTCATCAATAGCCATGGCAACAAACTAGGGGCCAATCAAAAAATGGGAAAAGGGAGATCATGATCAACCAGAACATCTGATGAGAGATGAAAAAGCTTTTAAAAATTCCAAAACTCAAGAACATGGACTTTTTACACCAAAACAGTCCTATTTTTGATTGAGTGATATGTACAAATTGAAAGAAAGCTGCAAACATCCACCCTCCTGCGAGTCAGTTCCTTCAATTTTTTATATCAGTGCACTATCCATTAAAGACACTAATCCATCAATAAGAATAAGCAATGAGCCTCAGGAACCTTGTACTACCAAGACATCATATACCCAAGAACATCAACATTGCCAAGACTTACTGTATATCCTGTCAAACTAGTTTTAAGAAAAGGAGATCTCCTAAACCTTATAAGATATCTCTTGTACTTTAATAAATGGGTGTTAATTGTAAACTGAGTTCTTGCCTCAGTGTCTAACACCACCACCTACATATATAGTTCAAACCTTCTCACCATCCTGAATTCAACCTTTTCCTTACATAGGGGAGTGTCAACTGCAACATTCAACAATATCAGGTCTATGATAAGATGCCATATCGTTGCACATGTCCATTCTTAAATTTTTAAATTTTGATTTATTTGATCCATTTAAAAAAAATGTTCTTGTTCAGTTTATTTTATAATACCTGACAATGTTCATTGTAAATGAATGAAAAAGTTATGTATCATAAAAGTTTGGTTTTTTTTTGTTGGTATCTTAGTTGTTTCTGTGTTATTTATTTTATCTACATAAATATTTATGAAATACCTCAATAATCTTTACATCTAGTAAGTGTGTAATCCAATTTGGCATATTAAATTCTTCTGTTCTGATAACAATTGTCCATTTTCTATGTTCACAGTAATATACCTAAATAAAGATCAATAAATATTCAATAAATATTTAATACATAATATATTAATATATATTTATAAATATACCTGTTTGATTGATGTCTTGGAAGAACAATATGCTTGCGATAATAGTATTATTACCAAACTTGCTTCATCAGCTTTTTTTTTAAATACTTTTAATTTATTCAATGTTGATATAGGCATTGTAGAATTTTGACTATTTGTAATTTGTGAGAAATTTACTGTTGAAAATATAAAATAAAACAAATATTTTGGATTGTATATTAACTTTCTACAAATTTAAAAATAATAATTTGCCTAATTATATCAGATTATTAACTAACTAAACTAAAAATATTGCTTAATTAAACTAAATTACTAACATAAAGAAGGAACAAATGACTATGCATATACATTAGAAAGAAAAAACTCAAATGTATTGAAGTGATCATAACTAACTACAGTTAGTTATGACTTATTATGTACCAGTTGGTTTATGGATTTCATGTCTTAAAATTTAAAACTTATGTTTATGCTTGGTTTGGTTGAAAAGTTTGCAAGAATATGCAACTGCTGTGTTTGAACTGTCAGAATATTAACAACAAATGTAATAGATCTGAAGATGGAATTGTATAATCCTGATAAATGCTTATCTATTAAATAACTATGACTTCTTCAATAGTTTTAAATTTTTCTTTCTAAATTACTGACTAAAAAATTACTTATGATTCAAAACATTCCAAATTTTTAATTATTTTTTTATAATCAATTAGTAAGCTGATTTTTATTTATTTATTACTATTGATATTTGATAAAGTATCAAAATTTTGTTACAGTTGTTTATAGCCATTCTCAATTCTTTATAAGAAGTCAAACCTATTAAAAACATTTTTACTTCTAATGTTTTTTGTTTTGTAATAACTAGAATCGATTGATTTAGATGAGGGTCGATAAAATGAATGGGGAAATTTATTTTAATTGTATTTAAAAATATAATACAAATTAATTTTATCCTTCTTACTTGCCTACAATAATAGATCAACTTTTCTTTTGTTGTGCCTATAAATTTCCACTGTCGTTCGTCTGTTCGTCTGTCCGCTCTTTGTTAGTCTCGAGAACGAAGATAGATAGATGAAAATCCGCATCAGATACGGGAAGCTTAGGGTCACAGGTCGCGATTAACTGCACGAACTTCCGGTTTTGACCAGAAGTCCGTGCAGTTAATCGCGACCTGTGTCCCTGACTTCTGACCCTGATCCTTAAAAAATTACCTGACTTCCGGTCAAAACCGGAAGTCAGGTAATTTTTTTAAATTAAGAGATTATTTAAAATTTCAGTTCGGAATTGTGACGATGCCACAATAAACAATTGCTCCTTACCATTGTGTTCCAGTAGGTGCGAAGAACACATAAGAAGACTGAATTTATTTTGTGTTTTTCTTCAATTGTGATAATTTGTAGAACAAATAAATAAATAAAAATATATTATTAATTCCTCTCTGATTTCTTGTTTCTGAGATTTTTTGTGATTTATTTTTATTTTTTATTATATATTTATTTTTTTTTTTTATCGGTATACAAAAGAGCTAGACATCAAAACAGAGTGGAAACTTTTGATTTTTGTTGTAGAAAATTTGTGTAATAATCATTACTAAAGTTCTAAAATTTCGAAATTTTTTCTTACTCATAATAAACAACTCGGCATTACTTTTCTTAACATGAATCACCATTAATACTCTTCTGTTAACGACGCTATTCACATTTGAAATAGCTTCTCCCTACATAATGCCTGTAATTATCGTTAGAAATTCGACATTTGAGGCTGTCAATGTTTCTTATAAACAGAACTAATTTCAGTTACTTTATTGTCAATATTTATAAGNTAATTTCTGAAGTTTCTTAATAGACTATAAATGTTAATTTAAACATAATTTTAATTTATAAAAAAGTATTAAAATAATTCCAGTTAAGATGGATATAACTTTATTTTGTTCTGAACGTAAGCAACAGGACCGTCCAGAAGGGGTAGAGATATTCCCACAGGCCTCATACAGGCTCTCGGAGTAAACTAGAGGTCTTAGTAGTTCCTACTCCTATAAATTAATGTTATCTTTATTAAGAAAAAAAATCTTTATGACTGCTTTTTATTAATTAATAAAGAAACATTCTACGTATTTTTTTCAAAAATTGTTCCAAAATTAAGGCAGTTTCCAGGCCCCATACAAGCATTCGATGACCCTGATAAGTAACACAATTATAGTCCTATATAAGTTTTGGAATTTTTGAATGAATATAACTGTATATGTAATTATCAAAATTAGCATATATTAAGCAGTAATATAGTTAATGTAATAAATCACAGGTGTAGAAGACAGTATGCTTTAATGTTTCAGTACTAATTAGAGATTTATTCATTTTAATTTTGAATAAGATTACTTTAGATCTAAAAATAAATGTTGGAGTTGTATCAATAAAAAACTTAGTTTTGAAATATATACATATATCACTTCAAATAAGCCCATTAAATAGCTCAATTTATTGAATATAAGAGATTTATATGCATCATGTTGACCTATTTGAAAGCAGTCCAAATAATGTTAAAAGTTGCGAAGCATTCAACATGATAATATATATGTTTTGATGATGACATTACATTAATCTTCTATGTATTTAATATTTAGAAGTTCTAAAGTATTTTTTAGGGAATTTCTTTAGCTACAGAAGGTTAGAAGGAGGAAAGATCTACATGTAACTGAGTTGTAAGCTGATAAGCGATTGTCTTAAATTTGTCTAAAGTATTTTGACATAATGTCAACGTATGCGTTATTATATTTTAAATGTGAGACAGACATAACACCAACATCTGTCGTATATTTAAATTATAATAAAATAGATTTATTATAATTGTTATGCCAAATATATAAGTCTATATATTGGCTTAGGACCCCGTTTACACTTTATCACAGTGGCTAATTAACTAGGCCCCACATATAGGAGATCCTAAAAATTTTTATTTTAAATTATTCTTTCCAAAGCATTTCTTGAAAATTTGTAAAATTTTTATTATTTAATATGTTTAATATACTTTTTAAAGTTGTTTTGTTTATACTGGTAAGCAGAGCAAAATTTACACGTAAGCTAAACAAGGTGTATAGCTTAGGATCCTCGCGCAACGAATTACGATGTAGTGCCTTATGCCTCTAAATTTAGCATTATTTGGTGAAAGAGGAAAAGCCTCTTATAATAGCTTAAAGTCAGAACAAGTTTAAATCTGGTCCTACTTGGTACTTCAAAAAGATATTTACTCAGAGATGTCTCGCTCATTTATTACTTTCTCGGCTATGTTATATAAAACAGAGGAAAAGTATGCGATCGGTCAAAAAAATCACCCCCACTCAAGATACTTACATTTTTGGGATTAGAGACCTTGAAACGTCGAGAAATTCAAAAAATTGGGAAATTTTCTGTGTATAAAAATGTGTATGTATGTGTGAGAAGCCTGATTTTGTTCACTGTTATTGAAGCTTAATAACTTCTGTGTTTTTTGTCGAAAATTTCTGAAATTTTGCATGGAAGTTCGTGTATGAAGAAGATTGATACTATTAAATTTTGGTGATTAAAGGTCGAGGGGTGGGGAGATAAAGAGGGTCGTGTGCTGTACATATCTCGAATAGGGTTGTACTTACGACGATTTTCCTCGTTATTAGCATTTATAATTTTTATAAGCTTTTTGCCATTTTATANAAGTGTACCCCTTAAGCTTTGCTCTCGCATCACTCCTATGATCCCTACGACCTGCACTTTGTTTTATATCGAATTTAAATTATAAAGAAATATAATATGACAAAAAAAATTTTAACCCGAAAATATTATGTTAAATTCTACTTTGTATAGTTTGATAAATAGACCATTACCAGTTGTAATAAGCTATAATAAATTATGGCATCAAGGCAATAATATTAATGATGAAAATAACTATCATATTATGATGTTATTATCTAATATATTGCCTGCACTGATATAATCTGAACATTAATGTCTATCATTAAAGTGATTTCTCGTTCATTTCTTGTTCTACAGTTTATTCATTTAACAAATTTTTGTATACGATAATTCATCTAAAAAAGAATATTTATGAAAATAATGTTATACAAATATTAATTTTAATTAGCTGTGAGATTATATTTTAATTAGTAGGATCATATTTTAACGTATTAAATAATAAATATTTTAATATGAAAAGAAATGATAATGTTTATTTATTTATTTATCTTTGATAAAACTTTATAAGTTGTTAATTGTAATAATGTGAACTTGTTATAAATAAATAATTGTTATATATTTAATGTGTTAAACTATTCTTAATTAGATTAAATAATTCAAAATTAAACTTAATCTACTAATTAAGCTATGTGAATAAAAATAATGAAAAGAAATCTCTCTAAAAGTCTAAAATAGAAAGTGGTTAATATACAGTTATAAAAAAATATACAAATATCTTTAATTTTAATTAATCTAATTACAGTCGAACCTCCCAATAATGGCAACATCCCAACAGCGGTCACTTCTAAACAGTGGTCAGGAACTGTACAGAAAAATTTGTAAACAATTGTCACCTCCGAACAACGGCCATTTTTTGCTTTCCTCACTGGCTATTTATCAGAGGCTATTCACATAATATAATGTTTGATTACATTATATTAACATATGTATATAATATAATATAATGTAAACATTATATTATATGAATTAAATAAATTCATTATATATTAATCTATTTATAATATGGTAATTTTAGTTTGCATTTTAGTTATTTAATAATGAATAGATTCTATACTATAGAAGTAACACACAAGAAATCAAAAAATTACTTAATAATCTTTACCGAAAATATAAAATATTTTACAACGACGAAGAAAAATATAAATGATAATTCTAATTTTATATATTTCAAATTCCAAGAACAATTAAGAAAATATCATTTTTCAACAGTTTAAATTTATGTCTCCATTATTAATAACTGCGTATTGAAAGTAGATACTGTATCACAATAGAAAACTATACACATACTTTTACACATCAAATGATGAATAAGTTTTTCATTACATAAATTACACACTTTTAAATTGATTTAAAGTCATTTTATATTGAAAATAATTACATTTCTTCGCTCATTTTTTCAATAAAAATAATAAATTTAACAGCGTTACGAACCATTTTATAGCATTAGGAGCTGT